CACGGGGCCTGTAGGCCCTGGTTTTCAGGCTGTCAGGCTGAAACAGACACGGGGCCTGTAGGCCCTGGTTTTCAGGCTGCCAGGCTGAACCAGACACGGGGCCTGTAGGCCCTGGTTTTCAGGCTGTCAGGCTGAAACAGCCATGGGGCCTGTAGGCCCTGGTTTTCAGCCTGAATTTCAGGCTTTAGCCTGAGGAACGCAGGGCCTGGAAAATGGCCCTCGTGTGCAGGCGCAACATGTAACAGAAGGGCAAGCTGGCTATCCCAGTGGGTGAACACCAAGCATGCAGCAGGCGGCCCTGGAGCTAGGCCAGTGGCCCTGAAGAAGGCATGCAAAGAATTTAACCCCCAGCAAAGAATCTAACCCACGGCCTCCTGAGTGCCACTGACGTGCAAAACAAGCTGAGCTAGGCCGGTGGCCCTGAAGAAGGCATGCAAAGAAGTTATTCTTTTCTCAACGGGGGTGCTTTGCAAAACTTGCAAGGCTACCCTCATGACAAGCGCGAACGTCATAGGCGAAAAGTCGGTGCCATAGAAACTCTCAGAGCTTGCACACAGCCCGCACAGGGACAAGACCGACTCTGGCCAGTGCACAGGCCAGGCTGTATGGTGCGCATTACACCAGAGAAGCAGGGAGTATTACTGTCTTCACCCGAATAGAACGCCCGGTCATTATAGCGGCATTTTTTTGGGGCAACTTTCAGTCCCGGTACAGCAATAAGGACAGGGCATTCTATTCAGGTGAAGACGGTAGGCGGTTGGGAGTAGAGCATTACAGAAGTAGGACATTGATCAAGAAAGGAACACAGGGAACAAAAGAGGGTGAAAGTAGGAGAAAGAGTGTGATGACACAGCAAAAGAGAAAGGAGGGAGGTCACATGACAAAATGAGGCCACAGGTGGGCTGGCAAAGAAAAAGGAACGAGGAGAAGTCCAAAAACCAGGTGAGAATGGCAGAGGAAGATGAGAGCTAATAAAATGAAAAGACAGCAAGAAACATGTGGGACGTTGTTTGACCAAAAGGTAACACGAGGGAAAGGGGGAGGGATAAGAAGCAGCGCGAAGAGAGTAAACTTTGAAAAGAAATAACAGCAAGTAGGAAGGCAGGCTACAGCCCAATAGGGAAACAAAGATGACAGAGGATGGATGTAGAGAACCACAAGAAAAGAGGTGCATACAGAGATAAACGCAACAACAAAAAGCACACAGCAGCCTAACATGCCGTGAGGACGAGCGTTAGCGCACACACACACACACACACACACACACACACACACACACACACACACACACAC